TACAAATTGAAAGCTTTTCTCCTTTATATATTGCCTGAATCTGGGCGTTTCTGTTGAATTTCCTTTGTTATTGTTGAATAAAAATGACTTTATCCTGCTGACTTTTCATCTGCGAGCAGAACAGTTGATTTTTTTCTAACATTTTAGCTACGAATTTGGTGAAATTTTCTTCCCAAGTCACCATAGTGTACGACAAATTGATAATGACCATGTATAATTGTGGTCAATATAATTTGTTTGTGAGTAAAATTCACTTGGTCATTCGTCGTCACTTTATTTAATTAATTAATCGTTAATAATTACGACCATTTTACTCAAAAACTAAAAGAAATCATTATCAAAATCTCATATTTTTTTTAGATCGAAGGGTCATACCTAAAAAAATAATATTATTATAGATTTCTATATTCATCGTTTTGGTAAACCGGACCATACGCATATGGTCCGGAACATACACACAAGGGAATCTGATGGCAAAATCATTTTTAGAACATGTTTTATCATTTTTTAAACCAGTGTTTAGTGCTTTGATTTTAAAGAAGATGTTTTTTAAATATATTGCAAATAGGTTTTAAATATATTTTAAAGAAGGGGGGAAGGGCAAGGGGTATAACTGTTATGCTGTTCTGAGCCAATTTAATTCTGTGTTATGTTATTCTGAAAATATATTTTCTGTGTCACATACTATGTTTATGGTGTAATGACAATAAAGATTTGAATTTGAATTTGTTATCTGTAATTGACAATTCTATGTAGCTGTTATAGAACTATCATTTTTTTTGTTATCTGTTATTGTGAGAATGTATTTGCTGTTAACTGTTACTGTACCCCCCCCCTCTTTAACTTGAATATGTCTTTATTTTATGAGGAATTAATGCAAAAAAAAATCATTCAGTTATTTAATCTACTTAGTCTATGTTTCATATATTTTACAATTTACCTGTGTTTACCTGTAAAATTGGCGCAAACTTTGAAGTATGGTTTGATTTTATTTTGGCCCAAATAAAGTATGGTTTGTAGCGCAAATGAATTACCAATTGGCGCAAAAGCAAGACACCAGGACAAACAGGGTGATTTGCCTTAGATCCCACCAATAAAAACCAGAAGTTGCACACCGTGTTGTGTTAAGTATATCACCCTGACATCCGACTTATTTAGTAGAATGGCTGACATGGTATAATTATCGTGTTGTATATATAAGATATTAAAATCATGTTTAAGATGCAGAAGTTTTGAATTAATTTCTTAAGGTTAATTATCAGACTTGAGTGGGGGTAAAATAACTGCATGTATAGAGTCTGGGTATAATTGTATGCTCACTTTTGCATATTCAGATTTCAAAATATCAGCAAATAGGAAGCTGGTATCTGAAAAAAATCTGAAAAGTACTCACACATTACAACTCATCACTGTCAAGCTGGTGACCAAGTATGAAGTCTTTCCACTCATTCATATTAAAGAAGTGTTTGAGAAAACAAATTTTGAAGTTCATTTTTCATATTGAAAATTTTCAAATTATCGGCAAACAGGAAGTTGGTATTTGAAAAATCTGAAAAGTGCTCAAACATAACAACTCATCACTGTAAGGTGGTGGCCAAGTATGAAGTCATTTAGCTCATTTATATTAAAGAAGTGTTTGACGAAAAATTTTAAAGTTCATTTAGCATATTGAAAATTCTTCAAAGTATCACCTAACAGGAAGTTGGTATTTGGAAAATCTTAAAAGTGCTCAAACATAACAACTGAAACAAACAAAAACTGTATTGGATATAAATATAGAGTATCAATTGGGAAAAAGGTTACTTTGCACAGTAGATCAACTGGGATAAACCCTAAAATGACCCCCATCATGACTTTGATTGAGAAGGGAATAGAGTCCATCCATGATATTCATTTAACAAATCTGTTGTGTGTTTTATGACTATGTGTGTTTCAATGCATGTATAGAAGTTTGGCCAAGTCACAAAATATATAGAAAGACATCAGACTTTTTTCTCTTTTAATCACTTTACCATCTCTAAATCCGATCATAAAAACTTGCATACATTCCACAATATAAAAAATCATATAAAAAATCAAGCATACTTTGCAGCATATAAATGTTAAAAAAAGTGTTTAAATGTAAATAATAAAATGCGTTGTAAAGCTTGATGTAACCAAAAGTCTACAGACAACATTAACAACATCATGGCCATAATAAGAATGCAAATTTTTACCAGTCAGTCCTATAAAAAAATCACAGAACAATGCTTGCATGCATACCTTGCATTATATAAATATAACAAAATATCACAAAAACAAATATTGTTAGCTGAAAACAATCAATTAACAAAGTTAACAGTTTATATATAAAATGTATCAAGAGTGGACACAGCGATATGTCTTGCCTGTATAAGTGTTCATACATGTTATTTCAATACTTTTAAGTATTACATTATCATTTCAATTACATGTACCTGTGTAGAAGTGGTCAAGGTGAGATTAAATCTTTTAGGCAGACATGTAGGCTTTGCAATCATTCCAAATTTAGTTAACCTAAAACTTTAAGTATCATTGAACAAAAAAACCTTAATTTTTCCCAATAAAGCATAAAATATGGTCAAGGCAAGATGAAACCTGTAAGACAGACAACTTACAAATATTCAATAGATATAATTGATTTATCACTTAAAGTATCTGTGAAACTGGTTTAACTGACCCTGAATCCCTCACCTGTAATGTTTTGCTGAAATCTTTCATCACTGATTAATTTGGTTTTTTAATGTATACTGTGTCCTTAAATAGGCTATTTTAACTATCATGTTTTTTTCAAAAGACAAAAAAAAATATTTAAACCTTATGTTTTATTTAAGCCATAGTAGCTATGTTTCATGACGTACAACATTAACATTAACTTATTAAATACTAAATACCCTGAAACTCATTCAGGCTAGGCTGAAATTGATCCAGCTGTTTTAAAGGAGATTTTTTTTAATGTTACCAAACATTATGAACAAATTGTGAAAAAAAATGTCTTAAAAGGGTAATACATGTATCTCCTTAAGGGGTCAATTGACAAAAAAAACAGATCAAATAGGGAAAAAAAATTCTGAACCATAAAAATGAGGTCAAGGTCAGACAATTACTGCTAAACAAACATGCAGACCTTCAAAACCATTCCATTAACCGGATATAATATGATATAATGACTTCTTCGTATCTAAAAACTAGACTAAACCACAAAATATTAACTTCTATCAGTTAAACATGAAAATGAGGTCATGGTCAACACTATAGTAGAACATGCAGTACACCTTACAATAATTCCATATACTGTACTAAATATATGGACTTGGCCAATGCAAACTAACTAGTTCACTGATCCATGAAATGAGGTAATGTGAAAACTGTCTTTACAGGCACAAGGATTTTCCAAGAAACCACAAATACATCTTATAATTCACAATAATAGAAAAAATAACATCCAATGAACAACTTTCTTTCAAAAAATCACTGAACTATTTAAAATGAGGAAAATGAACAACAGACTGAAAGTTCATAACATAAAGCATCTATAGTATATATGAAGGATCCAGGTCTTATAAGTAATCAACTGATTTATTTGGGTAAAACACAATTAAGGGGACAGTTACTTGTGGTCAAAAATAAAAGTTAACAATAAAAAAAATCATTTGTTAACCTAAATACATGAAATTTGGTTAGTGGAAAAACAATGAGTTGTTGTTTAAATTATCCTTTGTAAACAGTAAGGTAAGTGCTGGTTACAGACACTACTTGTAAATATAACCTCTTAATACTTATGTATTTTAAATTACCTATCATACCTGTTGAGCCTAACTTATAATGATTCTTATACAACTAATTAACAAAATACAAAACCAACTGGAAGTACTGTGATCAGAGCTCACAAAATTATGCCCCCGTTCCTTGTAATGTTTATGTCTTGGTATTGGAAACCCAAAATATCAATTTGACAAAAAATCAAATAGGAGGTGCACAATTGCTGATTAAAATCTCAGTTTCATTAAATTATGATTAGGGGTTTAGGGGGAGTTGCAGATACAAAATGAGTATCCCAATTATAAGGCAATGGAAAAGTCCACGTTTTTAAAATAAAAACTCAAAAAATTATTTTGAACCAAAAAAAATAGGTGCACAATAGCATTATATCATAAAGAATCTGAGAAAGTTTTATTAAATTATAATAAGTGGTTTAGGAGAAGTTGCACAGATACAACATGGGTACTCCCTATTTCATGTATTTTTAGTCCATGTTTTTGAAATGGAAACACCCAAAATGATTTTGAACAAAAACAAAATAGGTGCACAATGGCATTATATCATAAAGAATCTGAAAAAGTTTCTTTCATTCTGATAAGTGGTTTAAAGGAAGAGTTGCGGAAACAAAGAGAAACACATTGTACGGGACGGACGAAGGGACAAAGGAAGGGACAAGACAAACAGAAGGACGGACTTCCCGATTACTATATACCTCTGCTGTACAAAGCAGGGGTATAAAAATCACAGAGAAAAAAAAACATGGTTCACATTTTACAATGTAACACCCCTATCTTGCAAAGTAAAAAAAATAGGAATGTTATAATAACTGCACAGCTCTTAAAATGAGAGATTATATACATGTAATCCATCAAACCATCAGGATTTTACCTATTAATCATGGGAATTTAAATCACTGTTTGAAAATGGATCTCTTACAAAATGGTATCTAAAATGAACTCTTAAAAGTTAATCACTTCAAGAATCATTTTTCAAAGGTAAAATATCAAATTAGTGTATTTTTCTATTAATGTTTACATTTTTAACACCAAAATGCTGCTGGATTATAAATGAATTTATGTAATTAAAGTTATTTCAATGAAAACAAACAAGACATATTGACATTGACAGGACAAATTAAGTAATTTCAAATCTGAAGTAAAACTTTAAACATATCTAAACAGAAGAAGTGCTGTTCACTTCAGGAATGATTAAAAAAATGAATTTCTGAAAAGACAAATCTTTAAAATACACTTTTTTACAAGAATTCGGATGGTTATGGACACTACACACTGACTACAATTTCCGACAATTTTCTATTAACATAAATTTTGTGATTAAAAGAATAGTCCCCGAATAGTCATTAATACTGAATTTCGTGAAAAGGAAGTTTTTTTAACATTTCACATACCTAAATTGTAGATGAAGTAAAAATAAGTAATTTTTTACCTTAATATACTTCAGTTCATTAAATAACATTATTTAATGCTTTTTCACACTTTGAAAAGAAAAAAAAACATTTGCTTACATCTTTCTACCTCATTCTTTGAACCAGCATATATATTTGTCTAATACTTGCAAACATAATATCATTTTACATTTACACTCCTATTACAAAAAAGTACAATCTATCAACATGAATAACAACTTATAGAAACATGGAACACACTTTGTCAATTTCCCCCCTACAGGATGGACAGTTTTGCCCCATATTTTCAACTTGCAATGCACAGACAAGACAAAATGTGTGACCACAAGGTGACAGGTAGGCATCCCTTTCCCGGTCCACACAGATCTGACAGCGTCTGTCATATGAGAATGTAACCTGAAAAAAAAAATACCAAAGCTAAAATATAACATCATTAATCAGCAAGCAAAATTTGTGTATACTTTACTTGATCTGAATAATATAATTTTATTATAATTGATAGATTTCCAAATGTAGTTAAGGCAGGAGAGTGTTGCATGTTCCATGGTATCTCACTCAAGATGTCATATATAGTTTTAATATTAAATGGATGTTGTTTGTCATTTGTTGTTATCAATAGAAACCAATATATCCAGGCAGCGGCCTTTCACAAAGGATTCAACTCAATTAAATCTGCATCAGTCGTACGAAAATATTAAAGTTTATTTTGTAGAGCATGTATATATACTACATCTGTACATGTGCAATCTTAAAGTCATATGAAACGAGTTAATTGTTGAAAAAAAAAGTTGAACATGTTTTTTTAAACTAAATAGTTAACCTTTATCCATATACTTCTTTTAGTGAAAACTCTTGTGTTTTATTGTAAAACTTTATGAAATGTACGGCTTCTGAATTATTTACTTCCAGCAAGTAATTAATCTGATATTCAACGAATGCTTTTCCGTATGCATGATATTCCTCTTAAACAATGTGAAAGCCGTTACTGCACAAGTACAATATTAAAATTAAATTAAAAATAAACCAACATTCATTGGAAATTAAGACATATTTTTTGATCGATGATGAAAGAAATCTTTTTATACACAAATTTGTTTTAAAACAGTTTTATAAGGTTGATTAACAAACAAAAACACGCAGAAAATATTTTAAAAATGGATTAATCAACACAGCTCAATTGTCACACTTATTAACCACATGCTTTCAGTGCACACTTTTGTCGATTGTTTATCAATATAAACGTGTCAGAGAACATCGCAAGTTCGTCACTAAGTTTAATTAGGAAAGATGGTTTCCATATAAAATCAACAAACGCATTATTTTGTTTGTAAATTACACATTACACTCAATATAAAAAGTGAAAATATATTACAAAGGTCTTAGTTTAGTATATGTGCATGTATTGGATGAATAATTTAGGGAACATAATTTTTTCCATCAACTCTTTTCATATGACTTTAAGATATACATGTCAAATCTGTTGATATTTAGACAACTAAAAGTTCTAAATGAAATAAGTCTATCAATTTAATATGATTTTTTTTTATTAAAATCAATATTTCTCTTCAGAACTTGACAAACCTGAGGCTTGGACAAGAGTTGAGAAATATCATATAATGTATTTAATTGTGTAGTGTTTTTTATGTTGGTTATACTTCATTTACTATTATGTCGTCAGGGTATCATTGGATGATAATCAAGTCACCTCTTTTAAGCTTATAATTCTTGAGAATAATTCACAGCTATCAATTAATAACAAGAGTGGACACAGATGAGTGTGGATAGTGAATATTGCATAAAACTGTGAGCCAACTCACTAAGGATACCCCATCCCATTATGGCATTTTTACTACACTACGGTACATTCAAGCTTGATACATGCAGCTTTAAATTTGGATTGTGATTAAATAGTTAACACAACAGAAGTTTCTGACACAAAAGAAATGTGTAACTACTATTTATGACTTTAAATAAAAGAAAATTTAAAATTAATAATAATTAGAGTTATCTCTCTTTGCATATTTTAAGTCAGTGTGTAGAAACCAGAAAAATATAACTACATCTATTTAAAGCAAGTTAATTATCTTCCTTTAAATATTTCAGACCAAGGATATCTTCCTTTATGCACATTCTCTGGTCATGTACTGGAACTGTGTAACGTTTAATTAATATTACTCCAGTCATTTAGGAGGAGTTGTGCTTAATGCCAAATATTGGATATTTAAACTAAGTGATTTCAATTATCTCCCTTCAAAAAAAATCTGACCAGAAATATCCTCCTTCATGCACGTTTACAGGTTGTGTACAACAACTGTGTAAAGTTTCATCAATATTGATTTATCTGTTTAGGAGTAGTTGCGCTTACAAGACTTGTTGCCATTTATTGCTATATTTAATTCAGTAGATTCAATTATCTCCCTTGAAATAATTCCTACCAGAAATATTTTCCTTCATGCACATCCTTATATCATGTACTACAACTGTGTGAAGATTCATCAATATTGGTCCATTCATTAAGGAGTAGTTGCGCTTACAAGACATATACAGACAGACAGACGGACAGGGTGATTCCTATAAACCCCCCAAAACTTTTGTTTTTTGGGGAGTGTATAAAAATATAGAAACATGTGCCAAAGTTTTTTAAAAAAGGTTAAAGAGTTAAATGATAAAATGCTTAGCTTGTTCCTATATAGAAAACTTACTGTAGGTGTATCAGCATGAAATACAATAGGTTTGTTTGTATCAGTAGCACCTATTGGTGTTCCACCAAAAGCTCCTATTGATGTTCCTAGTGTGGGTGTTCCTAGTGTAGGTGTTCTACTAGAAACAATTGCCTGAGGAGTTGCAATGTTCGGTGTTCCTAGTGTTGATGATCTAAAAGGAACATTCATGGCTGGAGATGTCATAGGCTTTCCAACTCCTAGTATTATTTCAGGCTCTGGTGGGGACATGTTTCCGGGAAATCCTAAACTTTCCAATTCATCAGAATCGGAATCGGTTATGGCAAGCATGTCATGTATCTGTAAAAACAAATGCACAATGTTTACTTGATTTGATAAATTTTAAATAGGCTGATAATCAACTACAGTAACTTATTAATATGCCAATATTACCAATCCTTTGATTTACAAAATGCAGCATGATACATCAAAATGATCAGCCCAAAATGTCCAGGCAGGAATTGACACACACAAAATAGCTGATTAACTTTTTTTTATAATGAATAAGCTTTATTGAAATAACTAGATATCAGTGAAATGGGAGCCATCACAGTGGGCCCCGCTGTCCATAACAGACACAATCTTTACCATAGGACATGGGATTCCCAAATGTAAGTCTTTTTACCTTGACCTTTGACCTACAAAGTTGAACATACATTATGACACACCCTCTGGTGTTGGTCAATATACATGTGAAGTATAAACTTTGAAATCATAACGGTTCACGAGATATGGAGCGAACATGATCTTTCCCATAGGACATCGGGTTCTATACTAACACTTAAGTTTTTGTCCTTGACCTTTGACCTACAAAGTTGAACATACATTATGATACACTCTCTGGTGTTGGTCAATATACATATTATGGCATATAGCGTTTGCATATTCGAGGTTAGGCCTTGCTAATGCTTTAAACGACATAATAATGTAAATGACGAACAATATTGGTCCCAGTACACTGCCCTGAGGGATGCTGCTTGTCACCTGTTTGAATTCTGAGTAGCTGCTGTTTACCCGTACTTGTTGTTTTCTACCACTTAAGAATGCTGTTGCCCATGGTGAAGTATAAACTTTGAAATCATAACGGTTCTTGAGATATGGAGCAGACAGGATCTTTCCCACAGGACATGGGGTTCTATACTAAAACCTAAGTTTTTGACCTTGACCTTTGACCTACAAAGTTGAACATACATTATGACACACCCTCTGGTGTTGGTCAATATACATGTGAAGCTTAAACTTTGAAATCATAACGGTTTTCAAGATATGGAGCAGACAAGATTTTGTTACGGACAGACTGACGGACAGACGGACGGACAGACTGATCACTATAGGGCGACCCACCTTTGGCAGGGCCCTAATAAGCAACAACATGTATATAAATAAAGGTATTCAGAATAGAATAACATAATTATTCATGTGGTACACATGAATGGAATTTGGGGGCGAAAAGAAAGTTAAATTAAGAAGAAATAATAAATAATGTAAGGATTAAGAATTATAAGGATTAAACACATTTTTTCTATAGGTTATTTATGTGTAAACTGGGTCGCTTACTCACAAACTTATCATAAAAGTCCTTCAGACTTTACTTCAGTTTGTGAGTTAACAGACCGAGTTTACACATCAATTACCTCTAGAAACAAGAGGCTCTCAAGAGCCTGAGTCGCTCACCTGTAATTTTTTGCTTAAATCTTTCATCAATGATTATTTTTGGTGTTTATCTTTATCTATAACAATATTCTAGACAATAACCTAAAACTGCAAAATTTCCTTTAAACATGTTAAATCATCAATAAGCTGCAAAAACTGCATTTGACCTTATGTTCTTCTTTTAGACATGGCAGCCATGTTTGTCGATGAACAAAACTTCAGATATAATTCATTAACTCAATAACCTGAGAAACATTTAGTGAAAGTTTCAAAGTATTTGGCCAAGTAGTTTCAGAGCGGCTGCAGAAGATTTTCAAATGTTAGCAAATATGATTGTGTTGATGACACAATTGTGTAAAATTGTCTTTAAAGGGCAATAACTCCTTAAGGGGTCAATTAACAATTTTGGTCATTTGACTTATTTGCAGATCTTACTTTGCTGAACATTTTTGCCATTTACACTTTCTCTCTATCTAACATAATATTCAAGATAATAATCTAAAACTGCAAAATTTCCTTAAAATTACCATTTTAGTGGCAGCAACCCAGCAATGGATTGTCCAATTATTTCTGAAAATTTCAGTGGTGATATATCTTGACCTAATGAACATTTTAACCCATGTCAAGATTTGTTCTAATTAAATGCTTTAGTTTCTAAGATATGGGCCGAAATCTGCATTTGCCCCTATGTTCTATTTATAGCTATGGCAGCCATGTTTGTAAATGGATCAAAACTTTGTATACAGTTAAAGTTTCAAAGTATTTGGCCAAGTAGTCTGCATCAGAGCAGAAGATTTTTTAATATTAGCAAACATGATGACAAAATTGTGTAAAATTGTTTTTAAAGGGTAATAACTCTTTAAGGGGTCAATTGACAATTTTGGTCATTTGAACTTTTTTGTAGATCTTACTTTGTTTAACATTTTTGCTATTTACACTTTCTGTCTATCTATTATAATATTCATGATAATAACCTTAAACTGAAATTTTCCTAAAAATTACCATTTTAGTGGCAGCAACCCAACAAAGGATTGTCCAATTGGTCTGAGAATTTCAGGGGTGATAGATTTTGACCTATTGAACATTTTTACCAATGTGTCAGATTTGCTCTAAATGCTATAGTTTTTGAGATATAGGCCAAAATCTGCATTTGACCCCCATGTTCTATTTATAGCTATGGCGGCCATGTTTGTCAATGGATCAAAACTATGGATACAATTTATAAACTAGATACCCTAAGGAACATTATGTTAAAGTTTGGAAGTATTTGGCCCAGTGGTTTCAGAGGAGAAGATCTTTGAAATAGTTTACGACGACGACGGACAACGGACGACGACGGACGCCAAGTGATGACATAAGCTCACATGGGCCAGCTGAGCTAAAAATGTGTTTAATCCTATATTACACTAAATCTTCTTTTTTATATTTGACCAAATGTTAAGTGTATTATCTATAGATTCCAAAGCTGGCTTGTAATTCAGCTTAACCATTCTATCAAGGTCAACTGAAAAAGTAATTCCAAGAAGTTGAAATGTACCCATTTCAATCCCCACTTAACACAAATTTGATTTTGACTGTTTTTTACTACCTATCCAAATAACATTTGTTTTTTCTATATTAATTTTTAGTCCTGAGATTTCAGCATGAAATTGGAGATCACAAAGAGATGCATAGAGCGACTCAGAAGAGCTGTCTAAAATCAAAGAAGTATCGTCTGCATACTGAGACAATTTAAATTCTGTATCATCTATAGTAATGCCCTTTATCTCCTCATTGTTTCTCACCAATTTGCCTAATATTTCAGCACACAGTAAGAAAATATAAGGAGATAAAGGATCCCTTTGTCTTAAACAACCTCGCTCTACAAAAAAAATGTCTGACAGTTTTGAGTTACTGCAGCTGTTATATTATTATAAAAAGTTTTAACCCAGGATATAACGGAATCCCCAAAATTAAAATATTTTAATGTATCATAAAGAAAAGACAAAGAGATTTAACTTAATGTCATATCAATGTAATAATAATTATAATACCTTAGACATGTCAGCAAGGATCCGGAAATTTTTCCAGACAATTTCGGTCATTTTGAGATGTTTGAAAAGTTGGTGCCTCTTTTCAAATTGTCGATATCAACTTGACTATATTCATAGCATCAACGAACATGACGAACTTGTATTGCTGTTTCATCGCATTTACTAAGTAAATTTCTTACCATTACCATGAAGGACAGTTTAGGGAAGGCAACAGTCTAAAATTGAAATGATTTTAATGACTCAAAATGGTTAATTTCTCAGACATTGCTTACGTTTCTTTCGATTTGACAAAAGTTAAAACCGGAAGTTTGCGATATTTTAAAGTACGAATAATTCCGGATTCATTTCCGGGATTTGTTTTGTTTATCAAATTGACAGGAAATCACCGGCTTTTTATGGCTTTTTTATTTTATTACCTTTAAAAGTGTTTGAATATAACAGATAATAGTTGCACTCGTTTAATTTAGCATGAAATCAATTTGCATTTTACGATTAAATATTAAATTTGCTGAAGACAATTTCACGCATGCGTATTACATAGTAAATAAAGCACATGTGTTACTCATGAAAAAATACTTTTTTCTACGTAAATTTAGATTTAATTTTTAAATCAGAATTGATGACCACAGTCTTTGATGAAAAGTAAATAAATAATGAATACACTTGTCAGGGAACTTTAAAGTTTTAAAGATATTATTCTGAGCTTGTGATCACTGTCAGGTGTGAATTAAAACCACAGGTAAATAGTGATTAGCGATCATTAGCCAATGTTTCCCGGAGGCATTGATATAGATATTAGGAGGGCCCTCAGGATTATCAAACTACTGTAGTGGCAGTTTTATTACAGGAAAGGGATTATAAACAAAAACAAGTGATCACAAGTGCAAAATGGCGATTAAGAAATCCGATTTCAAACATTGAGTCAATGAAATGACCGAAATTACTTCTGTAAAAAAATAAAATTTGTCCTAAATCCCAATTACTCGTTTAGGACAAATAGTTTCATCTTAGGACATGACTGGCAAATATGACCGTTTCCGGACCCTTGCATGTCAGTATGTATTGTAATTGGGGTACGCATTTTGTATCCGCAACTCCTCCTAAACCACTCAAATCATAATTTAATGAAACTGTCTGAGATTCTAAATCATATAATGCCATTGTGCACCTCCTATTTGGTTTTTGGTCAAATTGATCTTTGGGGTTTTCAATACAAAACATGATCTTTGCAAGGAGCTGAGTATATTTTTGTGAGCTCTGAACACAGTACCTCTAGTTTTAAAAGGAGTAGTTGCACTTACATTAGACATTTGGACAGAGGGATGGACAGGATACTTCCTATTATTATCCTCCTACACCAAATTTATTATAATGACTGAATTTAGAAGTCTCCACTTCATATTTAACTGTATTAAATTTACTAGAAATAATTCAGGCTTAAGTATACACCTAATATATATAGCTTAAGATGAGAGGCAGGGGTATAATTAAATGCTTGGCTTGGAGGGACTTGACACTTACTGTAACAAGTTGAATACTTAATGCTGGGAAATAGGTGCACTCAAAATTGATGTAAAGACACACTATACTGACACTATAATCTATCAAATACTGGTACAAAACAACAATAATATCATATTCAAATTTGCTGAAAGGATTCATATTGGACATGTTGTACTGGGACAGTACTATGTTACGTAGTAAGCTATAAGGATATTTTAGGTTTACTTATTGATAATACCATTCTAAATAGACATGATTAAATAATTATAATCAACATTTTTTTTATAAACAAAGCTAATAGATACACACCTTTTCCTTAGACAACAGGTAAATCCTTGCTTCTGAAGTTTTACGTTCGTTGTAGAATTGTAACGCTGAAAAATTTTCTCTGTTTATTGTTTCAGTGAAAGATCTCAAGCTCAGTGTCATTTTATGTAAAGACCCTTTCTTGCTTCTGCCACAGGGGTAATATTTATCTGTAAGCTTCTCTATTACCTCCTCATATGTTGCATTATATTTAACAAATATAATTTGGCTCCCACAATCAGTTAGTTTGAGTTTTTTTGAATTGGATTTTACTTGCTTATACACGTTGGAAGCAAATGAGTAATGCTTCCACCCACAATGAAATTTTAAGTTACTGCTTTGAGTGCTACTAGTGCTGTTCACCTCCCTATCAAGTCTTGCAGGTTCCTGAAAGAACAGATTTAAAATATTGTTATGTACAATATGAATGACCCTTCTGCTATAAAAGGAGTATGGTCGTGAAGGCCTTAATTTAGCTCATAAAACAAAAATAACTTTGTAATTTCATATGTAACAACAATTATAATTCACAATCTGAAATATGCAAATCAAGATATTATTAACCTTTTTCTGTCTCAAGGTTGGTAATAGGCTCTGAACAGCCTCTGAAGCTCACCTAAATCTACTATGGTTGGAATTATGCATATTAAGCCAAAAAGTGCATTTTACACATGCAGGGCTACATTCTGTTTTTAGCCATGGTGGCCAATGTTTTTTAAGTAACAGTTAAATCACAAACTTTATACTAGATACCCTAGGGATCATGCAGCTGAAGATTGGTTGAGATTGGTTCTGTAGTTTCAGAGAAGATCTTTAAAAGGGTTTACACCAAATGGAGGGACAAATGACGATTTTTTTGTATGGCTTTAGGGACAATGTGAGAGACCTTAATGAAAAAAGAACTATAAAACTGTACAATAATATTACTTTCAAGACATTATTATCATGAATACAAGATGCAACAAATTGTGTGAACTTAAAAGAAAAAGAAAACTGGATATTCAACTCATCCAAGTCCTCATTTACCAGAGATAAAAAAACAAATTAACAGAAATTTAATACTTACTAGTTTCCTTTTTTTAACTTTTTCACGTAATTTATCAATCATCGCAATCATCTTTTCCTCTGAAAAAAATTAACAAATAAAAGGCTTTCACAGACATCAAACAGATTTTTTTACAATTATTTTTATAATGCAAGTTTTTCTACATTTCAAGGATCATTAAACTCCTCAAACATGTCAAACAAATACAAAAGTGGAAAATTGTTAAAATTTAATTTGTCCTCAGTTTGTCACATTAGTTACAACAGATCAATATTTAAAAAGCTTTGGTTGAACTGTTTGTGAGTATGATTAAGAAATAATTCATGCAAGCCATAGATTTGTTGTATAATTTACACATGGCCTGGCCGGCCAGGCCATGTGTAAATAGGACAAAAATGTATCTTAAATACTGAAGCGACGAAAAAGTGGCTGTTATATTTGAAGTATCACCCCATTGTCAAATAAAAGTGTGTTATTCTGACTGTATTTGTATCAAAGAGATACATTTTCAGCAGGCAAAGAAGGCAAATCAGTTATTTAATAGCAACAGAAGCAATGATTATTATTAACTGTTTGTATTATTTTTTTAATGTAAAAATGAATGTTCTCAGAAACTTACCGTTGGCAACTAATCCTGTCTCAGTCAATTTTGTCCCTTACGTCGATGAAATTTCTAATTTCCAGTCAAATACTTAAGCAATGCCATTGTATATATATATATATGTAATCTGGCAAGGGTTAGGTTTTTGGTAAGAATAAATCAGTCATTTAACCATTTCTTTTCGTAGCAATGACGTCTGCAATTTTGTTTTGAAAACAATGGAAATAGAACAATGATAAAATTTTAAAAATCCCAGAGAGGACATGATTTTTTCCGATAATTTTCATTACACATAGGATAAAATATATATCTATATGTCATTGAAATTGAAATTTTTAAAAGATATTGATATTTAATAGTGGATGAACTATAAATATTGGAACTTTTGATGATAAAAGAACCTTAACAAAATATGTTACATTAAGTTTGGATTTTTATGGGAGTAAAATGTAACAGCCGAAAATATGCATGTTACTGAGTCTGCGCTAAATATAGATATATTGAGAATTTTATCATGGCTATTTTCACAAAGGGTAATAGAGAGGTCATATTAGAATAATGATTAACTTATGGCATATAATTTGGACAGGACTTGAAATGCTATTTTTTTCATTAACCATAGCTGATCATAGCTTCTGAACATGAAGGGTGAAAATGAAAATCAACAATATATCTATAAAACTTGACCTTCATTTTGTCATTATATAATTAACAACATATCAGATTTAAAAAGTTTTGGTTGAATGGTTCAATGAGTTATTGTTGACACGACTGGAAATGCCATTTTTAAATCTTTCAAAATTTCCTGAACAGTGAAAATGAAAATCATGTATTTTCAACTTTACCTCTGCCACCATTTCATCAAAAGTAACAAAATGTTATAACCTGAAAACCTTTGGTTGAATGGTTCAAATCATACAGACACTAAATTGGTAACTATATAATCTACCTGAGTTGCCATACATCAACAAATTAATAACATGTTCATAATTTATTATCTTTAAATCATATGGCTAATGTAGGTAGTTAATTTGGGAAAACAAACAATATTTTAATTCTGGCCTTTTAAATTGTTTTTTAAAGAAGAACAAGTGTGGACACAGAACAGCATGGATAGTATCCAGCATTCTGAGAGTATTGCATGGCAATACACAGTCCCCTACCAGTTAAAATTTGTTGTCCAGAAAACAAAATTCAAACTTGATGTGTAAAATGTCATGTTAAAACTATAGATACCAAATTTCAAATCAATATGACAATAGTCAAGCATGACTAAAAAAAATGCAGAATTTTAATTGATTAATCGTGTTATTTTTCTAGGTCTAAGGATCATATAACTCTGCCAACTATCATCAGATCAGAAAAAAAAATTAAACTTGATCTTTAACTTGTAACGTTAAAACTATAAACCAAATATCAAATGGAAATCTTTAAGTATGACAAAAAAATAGTGGAAATGTATTTCTTGCATGAATTTCTCTAAGTCCAAGGACCATAACTCTGCAAAAAATCATCAGACCAGAACACAATTTGCAACAGATCTTTAACTTGTCATGGTTTAACTACAAGCCAAATTTCAAGTCAATATCTTGAAGCATTAAAAAACAAAATATGGAAAACAGATAACTTATGTGAGTTTTCTAAGTCCAAGGGCCATAACTCTGCAAAAAATCATCTGACAGAAACAAAATTAGAACTTGATATGTAACTTGTCATGGTTATACTATATATCAAATATCAAACCAATATCTTCAAGCATAACAAAAAATAAAAAGTGTGGAAAGCTGATTACGGACAGACGGACAGAGTGCAAACCTAAAGTCCCCTTCAACTTCGTTGGTAGGGGACTAATAACCTTTTATTTGAGCATGTCTACTAGTTAATTGTACTAACCTTCTGATTTTAAAGTTACTCTTTCATGTCTATTGAATTTATTGTCTACAATAAAAAAATAATAAATGAATAGTCTAATTTCATTTATAAAGCACCTAACTGACACCAATGTTGTCCCTTCTTGCATATAAAGATTAAAGGGGCATTTTATGATGATAGAAAATAAAGGGATTCATGGGACAAAGTGGGACTTAAGTTGCACAAAATACATTAAAACAAGATTCATGTGACAAAAAGTCAGAAACTCAGGCTATTAGTAGTTATAACTAATAATGAAGAATGGCAAAATTTTATAACAATTGGTAAAGGTTCAATCGATAAATATCAAAACATGAAGTTCCTTACTTTTCCCCCTTATATTTTGGATGTGTAAGGCAATTGACAAATTTTTAAAGGTTCTCTGTATATATAACTGATCTAACTGGGAAATCATGCTGTTCAAGCATGGGTTCCTGCATGGTTAGCTGGAATGAGCCAGGGTACCAGATGGACTGCTTCTGTTTACATACAAAAGACAATGTTAAAAATGTATGAAGATGATAGGTTATTTTAGTTCCGGTTAGTCTCTTTTCACAAGCTACTATATCAATTAGCGATGACTTTTTTTGACTGGTATATATTAATGCCTGATGAGAAATATTAAGAAGTTTAGACTAAAATTGTTTGCTTAGCAAGAAGTTTTTTTTTATTAAAACACGAAAAACTGTTTTCAACATTGTTTTGTGTCATGCTGAAATAATAAATTTTAAATGATTAACCTTTATGCAAACCAGACTGAGCATCTTTATAGAGTACAAAGACCCCCCTTGGGCCTGAGTAAAAAATACAAATTATCAATACACAGGGCTTTAATTAGTCTTATATAGGAATCACTGAAGCATGACTGGAGTGGGTCCCCTCTTATGGCAGTTTCTGGCTATATATGGGACCAATTTTTTTTTAATATGAGCAAATGAGTACATGCATGCATGACGTAGTCTTACCTTGTGGTTCCCAGGTCTCCCCTGTTTTAAGTAGCATGAGGATGACATTTCCTTCTAAACTGTTGAAAAAATCATTATCTATTTCGACTCCATCTGCGTCCAGGACTAGACTGAATGTCGTTGAATCTCCTTCCATAAACTTTTCCTGGCCTAAATAAAAGGAAATTGAACAAAAATATTATTCTTTTCAAATCTGAATGAATAATCATATATTGCTTGCCAATAACCTGACCTAGTATCCACCATATATCGATCTTCCCTGATTCATTGAAATTCTGACTAACTGATGAACCATAGGAAATGGGGTGAAAGCGCTAACAGGAACAATGTTGGATTTATAATGTGATTTTTTATGTGTTATTTATTTTCAAACTATATTTTCTGTACCAAGGACTTTTTATTTATCAATACATCATACTATATATATGTTAGCGGCAATAAGTGAAATTAGGCATGATAGTTAAGCTTAAATCCTAGGCAATAAGTTAATGCCTAAGCACTAAAGATTTTTTTAAAGTTAATCTATATACAATTATAGCTGTTGTATGAGGTCGATACACTTAGGATATATTGACCTGAAAGAAGTATATTGACTGAAGACGAAGTCCAAGATCAAATAATCCTGTATTGACTGAATACAAGGCTTTACATTTTTTTGTAATTGTTATAAATTAATAACCAGCCATATTTGTATCAAAATCATCAGTGCACTATATTCCCTTTTTCGATTGTTTTTTTTCTTCATTTTACAGATAGCATATTGTCTCTCATCATATTTGTTCTGATTTCAAATTTTTATGTTTTTCAGTACATTTTGTATACATTTTTAATTTTTTTTTTAAAGTTAATCGATCATATATTATATACACCCTTTTCAAACAAATAAGAGCAACTAAAATGTCAGTTACCTGAAATATCAAAATCATTACAAAAATAATTCATTTATATAAGAACTCATTGAACAAAGTGGACACAGATGAGTGTAAATAGTATTAAAGCATAAAACTGTGAGTCAACTCACTAAGGATACCCCCCATCTCATTATGGCATATTTACTACACTACTGTTATTGCTTCGGCCGAAGGGTCGAAGATTTAATTTCGGGCGATATCCACGCCATCTTGAAATTATAATGTATCACACATGCATTCTGATTGGTTGCCTTATGATGGGGTCGAGATACAGCAACAGCCATTGGCTAGATTTAGAAAAATAATTGTGGACTTTCCCGTGCGATGAGAAGCATCAAATGCCGGAAAAAATAATATGTGTATTTATAGTCCCGATCAACAGTTGGTAATTCGTGTTCGCATTTAAATGATTATGATGCATATATATTAATTGCTAAAATTCAATATTGAAATAAATATTGTTAATACACGACCCTTTGCTTTGTAAATCAGCAATATACACGATTTATTTCAAGATTCAATGTTTACAAAACGCACCACTTGTATTTGTATCTGTATGAGATATAAATAGAATAAACATATATATATGGAACGCAAAAATATCAAGATTTTTTATGGAACGCCTAATAAGCGTATAGGTATTACTTTTACCTGATAAATTCGAATTTTGCGAATACAGATGTCATTAGTCCAAATGAATATGGGTGAGATATAAATAGAAGTGTTATATATACTGATACGTTTTCTCGGGTCTGATAAATATTGAATGAATTTCATATGCAACCTTTATGTACCGTAATTGTTTTATTCGTGTTTAACCCATATCAATTTAGACTCGTATTTTTTAAAATTTAAATTTGTTCGGGTGCTCTGTCATATTGATAAAGATAATCTTAAAAGTATTCCCCCTAAAAGATAACAATTATAGATTATACGCATTAAATGACTCTGAAATGAAATTTATAAATAATTAAAATATTCTCTGTAATAATATATAAACATAAAAACACACTAGAACATGTAATTTATGATACTACGAAGCATTCACTACCTTTTTAGAAAGGTAAAACTTGTTACATTTAAGCTTGATACAGCTCTGAATTTGGATTGTGATTAAATATTTAACACAGCATAGGTTTCTGACACAGAATGAATGAACTACTATTAATTATTTTAAATAAAAGGAATGCACATACATTTACATATTGCTATATTAAACTGGAAGAACATTTAAAATTAATAGTAATTAGAGTTATCTCTCTTTGCATATTTTAAGTCAGTGTGTAAAAAAAAAAAAATACATCTATATTAAGTAAGTTAATTATCTCCCTTTAAATATTTAAAACCAACAATATCTTCATTTATGCACATTCTCTGGTCTGAGTGATGTACTGGAACTATGTAAAATATAATAAATATTGCTACAGTCATTTAGGAGGAGTTGTGCTTACAAGACCTAATGCCACATTTGTGATATTTATTAAACTAAGTAATTTCAATTATCTCCCTTGAAAAAAAATCTTACCAGAAATATCCTCCTTCATGTACATGTATCTACAGGTTGTGTACAACAACAGTGTAAAGTTTCATCAATATTAATTAATCTGTTTAGGAGAAGTTGCCCTTACTTACAAATCATTAACTTGCCATTTATTGCTATATTTAACTAAGTAAATTTTAATATTCTTATATTCTCCTTCAAATATTTCCTTCATGCACATCCTCAGGTTGTGTAATACAACTGTGTGAAGTTTTACCAATATTGGTCCATCAATTAATGAGGAGTTGCGTTTACCAGACATATGGACAGACAGTTGGACGGAAAGACGGACAGGGTGATTCCTATATACCCCCCCCCCCCCCCCAAAAAAAAAAACTTTGTTTTGAAATTGTGTTAAGATCATATTTGTTCCAGATAGAGTGGAGCTACATGTATGGCACAGATTATTGCAGTTTCCGTTTTTTCTTGCATTTTCAGCTGTTATTTTAGCAGGATTTACATACATATCAAAAATATGTGTGACCACTAGTTAATGTAAATGCTCAGGTGTGTTCCAGGAATGCCTGCATTTGATAAATAATCTATTCCTGGACTGCATACAAAATTTATTGAATAGATATTGTTCATGTTGTTTTGATGGTGAATTAGAGTGTTAATTTAGGAACACAGGGACAATCAGAAAGATTAGAAGATATAGAAATAAGGGCAAAAATAATTTTGTATTTAAAATTTTGCTGAGAAAAA